GATTTAAATAATTCAATAAATTTGGTAGTTCAAACAAAATAAATTAAATTAGTTCAATTTTTTTTATAAGATCAAATCAATAATAAACTAAATAAATTTAACCTTAATTGATTCGGATAATAGATTTGTATTTTAAAAATTTGAAGATCTTATAATTGAATCAATTAAAATTATTATTATTTTATTATTATATGTGGAGAGAAAGATAGTCATTAGAAAGAGGGGAGGTTAAATAGTGTCTATAAAAAAACTTATCTTTTCAAACAGTGAAGTAGTAACACAAATCACAAGAGTGTCTTAAGAAGAGTCAAGAGGTTGAACATACAAAATTTTATATTGGTTCTTCTCAACCACTAAGACAATATTTAGTTCTCAATCTAACTTGATTTAGATCAACTATCTTTAACAAATATACAAGTATTCTTTTTCCAAGCCACTTTTAGCTCAACCCTGAGAGTCCTTTGATTTACCTTTTCAAGTAACTATACAAATATTCTTTGTACACCAAGACTCTCTAAGCTTAAACAACCAAGTTTTTTTTACAGCCAAACCTCTTTAGGGTCAACTCAGTAACATATAGTTATATCTATGTAAGATGAAAAAGGCTGTTTTAGTAGAAAATAGTTTTCGTGAGAGTAAGATGAAAATGTTTTTTGACTTAACAATTATATTTTTCCTTTTTTTACTAATACTTTTGTTGAAATAGATTAAGACTTTGTGAAAAAGTATCTGTAAGGGTGTAAAAAGTCTTAACTAAAAATTGATATTTTTGGCACAAAGTCGTTAATAGAGATTAATGGATTGAAGTATATTAGAGCAGATCAGTTTTATCTCAAAGCATGCAACCATTCAAATAGTTTGTAACATGCATATCATATATCAAAGAAACTACTAAGATAATGAGATACATAAGGGACTTGCCCTGAAAACATGTATGAACTGAATGAGTAAGATGAAATCAATCAAGTTAAAATTGTTTCAACATCAAAGAAATTTGAATGAAAATAAAAAAATTAAAATTGTGCAAAAGCTTCAACAAAAGCATTTGTATTACTAGCCCTTTCGGCACCAACAAATGTTAGTCCAAAATCAGTCTTTCTCATCTAAACTAAGCTCAATGTTGAGGCATGTGAGCAACATCTGAAGCTTTCGCACATAGCATGCTTGCCTTCTAAGTGCAATGAGAAGAGCTAGAGTTAAAAACTTGAACAAGAATGCCATAACATTGTCCTATGCTTGTTGAGAAGGATGAGGGTCTAATCTAGGAGCAGTACTAAATGATTTGGCTAAGTTTGTGCATGATTGAAATAAGTGAACATGATATTACTAGGCAACATAACATGAAAAGTAAAGAATAAAGGAAAGGGGTAGTAATAAACGCGTTGTAGAAGATAAACGACATTGGTATCAAATGGCATGGTTTAAGTAGGGGTAAGGGAGACTTAAGAGTGACTCCCAATAAAGTAAAGAGGGTACTCTTTGTCTGAGAGGCTCCATAATGATGATTGTGAGCATATTTCATATGCCTCACATCCTCTATGTATTGGCATTTCTTTTCCATGCCTTTGCAAAAAGAGTTTAGAGCAGCCTTTGGATAGGTAGTAGCAACGAAAAATTGAGTCCATGACTGAATCTGACATGGCCTATGCAATCCACTAATCATTTAGGCATTTTATGAGGGCTTCCCTTATAACTTAGCTCTAGAACAACCCTTGAATGAAAAAACATCTTGAAGTTAGTTAGATTGCAGTAGTGAGATCGTCTTGTGGAGTCATAAGGGGCTCCCGTGACTTCTTATCAGTTGTCTGCTCCTCCTCTAGAAGATCCAACTTTGCAACCTCCTTAGAGTCAATGCTAACAATATCACATTCTTCACTAGGGGGCATAGTAGATACAAAGTCCTTTGATGCTTTTAGATCAGGCTACACCAAGGAAGTATCCACACTTAATGGTTTGGGTAACCCATATTGCTAGCTATACATGAGGATGAAGGTATAATTATTAAGTTATTTCAGCCAGACAATAGTCATATCAAATCCAAACTTAAGAATTTTCATTTTTAATCCTTTTTTATCGAGCCTATAATTAAGCATTTTTTGAATCACGATGAACATGTTGATTAGTCATGTTGAATTGTGTCATTTGATCATGATGGTCAAGTGAATAAGTTGTGTTGAATCATATCTAAATTGTGGAATTCATATTGATAGTCATGGCAAATCGTGTTGATAATCATGGCAAATCGTGTTGATAGTGGTGTTTGTTAAGAAAACAATTCAAATTTTCAATTTTAAATATCTAAGATATTGTTTAGATTTTCAAAGAAAATATTCTTCTTTTAGGATATTGTTCAAAATTAAGATATATTAAATTTATTTTAAGAATTTATTTCCTCTTTTTAAGGTTAGGATGTTAAGTCAATAATAAAAACTTTTGAGATAAGAAGAATCACTTAACCAATAGAGAAGGTTATAACCTTAAATGAAAAAGGTCATATGAAATAAGATTTACCAAGTTTCGTCAAGAAAAAAAAAAGCTTGCTATAAAATGTTTATCAAGTTTCTTCAAAAATGCTTGTGAATGAGAGTTTACAAGGTTTTGTCATAAAACTTATGTTAAGAGTTTTCAAGTTTTGTTCGTCATAAAACTTGTGAAGAGAGCATTCAAGTTTCAATTAGTAAAAAGACATGTAATACATTTTGAGCATTATTATAGATGTAGGCATGAGATATCGGATCACGTTAATTATTTTGTGAATGTTTTTCTTGTTCTTTATGATGTTATTTTGTTTGTGTTCTCTCATTCTTAATTGTAAAAGAAAGAGTTTATTTTCATTCTCAACAATGTCAAATCATGTCATTTATATCATAATAATTGTATCAAATTGTGTCATTTAAATCATGATAATTGTATTGATAATCATGTTGATTATATCATGGCAATTATGTTGATAATTATATTTAATTGTATTATTTATATCATGACAATCGTGTCATATTTTGATCTTAGGTATGACACTTTGACTATTCTATGATTGTTGAATATTTATAATTGATTGATATTGTTTGTCTATGATGTATTTATTGGTCACCCTTTTTTTTTCAAATGTCATGACTTCATGCCTAATATTAATTGGATTAAACATATTTTTATTCCTTAAACTTTTATTAACTTTTAATATTTGTTTCCAAACAAGTTTTTTTAATAGTTTAAGTCCTAAATTCTTATTAATTTTTAATTTTAGTCCCTAAATTTTTCCTTTCATTAACATTTTTGATCCCTAACGTCAAGATTTTTTATTCATCAAAGAAAATTTAAGAATTAAAATCAAATCAATTTTGTCAAAAATTGAAAGTAAAAATTGACAAAAATTTAAAGTTAAAGACATTTAATTCTAATTAATTTGAAATGAAAAAAATTAAAGTAATAAAGACCGAATAATAGTGAAAGACATGACTATATTTGTTCAAGTCCCAAATATTTTACTAAAAAGATAAATTGATAAATAGATGTTTAAATATAATAAGATTAACACATTCCTATTAATTTTAATATTTTCCTCTGTTAATATTTTTATTACATCAAACATATAACATAATAATAATAATAATAATAATAATAATTATTATTATTATTATTATTATTGTTGTTGTTGTTGTTGTTGTTGTTGTTAGAGGAAAAGAGACACTTTGAGTCTCTCTATTTTTTAAATAAATTAAAATAAATAAAAAATAAATATGTTGTAGATAGTTACTTTAACGGTTATTTAAAAATTAAAAAAAAATGAGACAAAAAAGACATTAAAGAAAAAAGATGATTCAGAATTATGAGTAAAATAAAAGAGGATAAAATAATTTATATAAAAATAGAGACTAAAACAGTTGCTTAAATATCCTTTATATAATTGTATAAATTATAAAGAGATTCTTGTTAACCATGTTAGTATAACTAAACATCATTTATAATAATACCAATCAAATTTATCGCAATTTAAAACTATTACATGTAAAACGTGAATACACAAATTATTAAATATTTTTATATTATATAAGAATACTAACTATTATGGTATACTAAAAATTATGATAAAAATTGAAATCATTTTTAAATTATTTTTACTGTATCCCTTCGCACAGATCAACACCTGATTTAGAACACTTTTTTTTACTAACTTTAAAAATAATACACATATTAAGAATATTAAATAATATTCTTACTAAGATTAAAACTATTTTTAACTGCCTAATACGATGTTTACTATTATTTATCTATCATTTACAATACATATGTAAAATATTTAAAAATAGAGATAAAAACTTAATAATAAGATGAAATAATGATCATTTTAGTAAAATTCAATTTTTTTAATCACTTATCACTTTATAATATTAATATAATCTTTATTACTTTTATTTATTTTAAAATCCTATGTTGTTAGTGCAAAGTGTGCAGAGTGCTTTTCACTTTTAATTTAGTCTTGTTTTTAAATCACATGTTCTTTTTATCCACAATGCCTGGAACTTTGTTTAAAGGATCGATGTCCAATTTTATTTGAATCTACGATGTTTTTTCCCTACA